AACGCATACAAAGACAAACACTTTTTTCTTCTACATGTGTCAGTGGAAAGACAGCACACATCATACTGTACCATCTCTGACTGTATCACCTACACATTTACTGTAAATATACTGTAGATAGCTTTTCACAACACAGCTCTTACAATTTTATTTCTAATGAACAAGAACTGCCCAAGTGTTGAGCTTGGACATCATCTGTCATGAAGTTGTTCTTTTAAAAGCGCTTCAGTCTGTGCCAACCTTTGAATTCCGAGGTGTCAAACGTGCGTGATTGCTTTGGCGATTTGACAATCAAGAGAGAAGCTGAGATTGAAGAGGGAGTGACGCTGTTAGTCTGAGTCTGCTGTGCCACACGGGGTCTGGCAGCAGCGATTCACACAAGGGAAATTCTATCGATAAGTCCAGAAAATATTCAAATCTCTCAGGTAGCGTCCTTCATTCACAGGTATGGAGAGAGGAAATAGGTTCTACTCAAGGTGTTTCCATTAAAATACATGGGATTACAAAGCATCAGTGGACCTTTATATGTTACATATTTCTGCAGTTTAACATGATACACAGCTCTGTGTTAGCAGTATCTACATTTGTCAGTTGACCTACTGACATACTGTGTGGAGTAGGTGTGTTACATCTACCATAATCTAGTCACTAGAGAACAAATATTTAGGTTTCATCCTGATCAACTTCATTACTCCAAAATCCCAAAAATGGTGGGTAAGTTTGACCCAGTAGTTGTAGGTTTTAATACTGATAGTCACACTCAGGACCAGTAACACAGCAGCCTTTCAGTTCTCCTGGTGTGTCTCTTTATTGCTATATGATGACTCACAGCTTTCTGAGAAGTCTTACTGTGCCACCTTAAGCACCAGACTGTGTGCTGGAAGTAATTTAAGACTGAACAACAGTTCCTCCAGTTAAACTAGAACCACAAATCTGTGATGCTGCATCTCAACTTACATTTTTATTGTGGTGTCACTACAATGGTTTAAGCTTTTCATCATTTTAAGAAGATAAGCTCTGCTCTTTAAAGATGCTCAAAGTGCCACAGCTGCTATAGATTTTGTCTTGTTCAAAAAACCTTTAGACAAATGATGGAATGCATAATTTCAGCAGCTGGGCTTTAAAACAGAATTAAGAGACAGGACGGCATCACGCCTCCTTTAACCTCCCCATGCTGGCTGCCTGTTTGTGTTAGAATTAATTTTGAAACTTACATGGCCTAACACCTACACAGCTACAGTATCTGATTCCTCTGTCTTGTCTTTGCTTTTATCCGCCTCTGTTTTAGCTGTTTTCTTCCTCATTGTTTTCCTTTCTTTTGTGTTTTCGTGCTTTGTAACCTTGGTTGGGAGGAGAAGGGGGCTTTTCTTAGCTGTAGATAGTCTACACTACTTGTCCATCAGGGAATACATAGGCTTCTTTTAACTGGCAAGATTAAATACTGTAATTGCAACTCATATTGTACAACAAAACCCACGCAGATCTGACAGGACACTTTGTGGTTTGTACGTTCCTGCCAACATTAAAGGAAAAGAAAATATTCAGTTAAACACTTTATACTATAAAAACAACAGTTGTAATAGTTTGTCTAACGTTTCGTGCCTGTTTTGTTGTTAAGGGGTGTTACTGTTATAAAAGTGGAAAAAACTGTGTACAACACAACGTTGAGATATATTCAACACCTGCTGCAAATAGGAAATTCACAAAATTTGACAGTAGGTGGTTGAACTCTTGGTTCAACAGGTTTTCAAACATCAATAAACAGTTTTGATACTGATATTAATCTTTAATTTGTGAATTGTAATTTTTGTGCAAAACTGCCCTAAATTCACAGGTTTCAAATTTTAAAATGTGAATTTTTCTTTTTTTCTTTTTTTAGGCTCTTAATAGAAAACTGAAAAGACACTATGACAGGACTGAGCTTTGATACTCAACACTGAACGTCAGTTGTGAATGAAACAAATTCAGAGAGAAGTGGTTGAAATCTCAACCCAACTCAGCAAATCATCACAAAATAACTCTAGGATGCAATGTGTACATTATGAGTAACACAGCTGCTTTACTCCTCTATTATTAGATACTAATGAAAGAGTCTGTTGGGTGTGTGATTGCAGGTAAACAGGGGAGCGGTTCTGAGACACTGGAACACACTGGTGAGTTTTCTCAGACAGATCAATATGCCTCCCACTAGAAGAGAGGGCAGCCACTTCCTGTTAGCTGCAGGAGCCAGTAGTTCTATTAGCACCCGCCCCACGCATATCATGGATAACTCGTCGCACCTCTGCACCAAACCACATGATCTGATGAAGATCCCAGTGGCCCCCAATTAACACTCAGTCCTCTTTTCTAACAGCAAGAATCTGATTTTCACCTTGCAAAGCAATCAGCAGATAAACAGATACAGTATGAAAAGATTCATGACCCTTGAGTGTGTCTGCACACTCCTTCTGATGACTTGTGAACGTGTGTTAGGAAAGATAATATCTTTGGTTATGTTAACATGATAAATACAGTATGTACACACCAGTAAGTGTGCATCCAAACAAACAGAGCTGTGAATTCTGAACTATTCTGCAAAACTCAATCACAATAAATGACATTCTTGCTTGAAACATTTCTTTCAAAAAGGATTTTCCTCATTTCATGACCATGCTCATAGTGTAGAGACAGACGAGAAACAATAGAGAATGTAATGTGCAGCAAAGGTCCCCTGCTGAAATTGCACCAGGGATGCTGCAGTTAGATTTTATGCATTTTAACCACAAACCTGACGCCAATATTTTTAAATAACTGACTTCTGCTTCAATATCCACACATGTCAGTTACTGTCTTATTGGCAGTTGAATAGTTCAGCCCTAAAGAAACTAACTAGGGACAATTTTTTTAGTTCCTGATCAGTGTTCTTTAACACTGGGTACCTACTAATGTCAAGTCTTCTGCTTACCTTAATGTACAGTAGTCTATCAGACACACTGAAATGTCACTGTAACATACTAAATTCGGCAAGCCTTATTTTTCACAAGCTGATCCAAATGCTGAGGGTTCAAACCTATAAAGTTTATCACCTTAAATGACTGATATGAATTAAAGTGTAAGTGGAGTGTGCGACTCCTGAAAATTGATGCAATTCACTAGAGATAAGGCATTTAACTCTGTTGGAGCTGGTGAACTTGCCCTGCTCACTCTGTACAGTGTTGTTACAGAATGGAAATTGCAAGTACAGACTTGCAGAGATCATTTAACCAGAGAATAGACAAGTTGAGTTAATGCTGATTAGTGACAGCTGATATGATCTGCCACCATTTTAACTGGTGAGAATGACAGTTAGCACCAGCTAAATTTGATAAGGTGCTATATGAATGCTGTGTTTGTCAGATATTAATCTGAGTTTTGTGAATTTGTGTCATTTGCCAAAATTTGCGTGAGTGCAATTTTTAACATTCTTACACAGTAAGTATGAGTGAAATGCTGCACTGAGTACAGCAAATACAGGGACCCCAGGATCAGTGTCTTGATGGGAAACCTTTATTGCTGCTGTATAACTGACTTAACTCTAAACAATATGGAAATGCATAAAAAATAGTGGATATAGTGTTTCTTTACTGTCATGGAACCTGTTCTACAAGTGTACAACTAGAGCTGCAACAATTAGTTCATCATCATTCAATGTTCAAGATACACTGGAAATAAGAATCCACTTAAGTGCCTTTTCTTTTAGCTAAATCATATTACTTTTAATATACTTTTAAGAATTGCACCTAACTCTTTCACCATCACTATGTTCTATACCACATGTTGTGAATGCAGCTGTCAATCTCCTGTTTCTGGCATAAAACTCAGATGTGCTACACATACATCCACAAACCTGGCCTCCACACTATTTCTTCCTGCTACACAATACTTCCTGTGCCAGCACTGAGCGTTGACATGACAAGTTCTTGCAATATGAGTGTAATTTTGAGGGGAATCTGTCTTCTTTCCAAACAAGCACAAAAACAAGACATGCAGTACAGTATAGTGTATTATCATGTTTCCCTTTCTTTCCATTGGCACTTACCGTAACAATAAGCCCCCTCTCCTGGAAGTATTTCACCAGAGGAATGGTGTTTTGTTTGAAGTTGGTCAGGCGCCGGTCAATGGCCTTGGGGTTGTCATCAGGTCTTCCCTGCTGCTCGGCGCGTTTCTGCAGCCTGTCCTTCAAATGGTGGTTGGTGCAGGCCAGGAAGACCACCAAGTCAGGTGTGCAGATCTACCAGGACAGAAAGGACATGTGAAACATTGCAGCCACCACTGTGCTAAACCTTCATTCAGAACATGAGCCTGATGAAACTCCATCAACCCAGAGAAAACAGAGAATCATAGTGTTTAAATTCAGTGCACAAAACTGCAATTGCCACAAGACCAAAGTGTTTGCTCTAAGTGTTTGCTCTAAGTGTGGTCACCTCGCGGCCTCCTCATGTTATTCTGAGCTGCAGTGATGGAAGCCTGTAAAACACTTACAGTTAGGAATTCAGTCTGTAATCAAATAATCTTTGTGCATTTAACATACAGTGTTGATTGTGAAGGCTGCAGACTCCCTCGGTTTATTAGAAATCTGGATAGCCTGAATCAGCACAATGATATGACTGTGCTATAGAAATATCTATTAAATACTTATCACATTAATTTAGACTCTGGCCCTGTCAGGATCCAGTAGGAATAATCACTCAGTGTTTCCAGCAATCTGATTGGTTGGTGCTGAGGCCTAACCTGCTCCAGAGCAGGTTAGCCATGCACCATAAGTTACTGTGGTGATCTAGCCCGATTTAAAAGTGAGTTGGCTTCGTGGTAACGGAAAACCTGAGCTGAGCCCAAAGTTAGCTAGATAATCTAATCTCGCTTTGTGGTACAGGCCCCAGGGCAGAGCATGGCAGGTAACAGACCGTAGTAGAGCATAGTGGAGCATGAAGAGGGGACGCTGGGTGGAGCAGAGTGGGTTGATTTGGAGTTTCATGCTAGTGCTACCTTAAGTTACTTATTGTAGCTTTAAAGTAGAAGGTCAGGTAACAGCACTGACTAAGAGTGATTTAATTTGTGGCACTCCAATGGCTGGACTGCTTGTGTCTTACAAAGTCCAGCACACAAAGATATTCCTCCAGTATGTAAACTAAAAATCAGAGAAAGATGTTGTTATCTATCTTATGTTAAGTAGCAATCAGTGTGAAATAACTTGGTTTCTAAGGTTCTGACCTCAGCTGAGGGGTGAATCCTCTCTTCACCGTAACCACTTACCACCAGTGGGAGCTTTCATTTAAATAAAGCATCAGGGACGGTCTATTGGTATTCATAGTCTCGTTTGTTTTCTTGCTGTGTGGGTGGGTGAAATGCATACTCCATAGTTTGTATTTGAACTGGCACTCTGCCAAAGCCAAAAATAGCTTGAATGAGGTGCAAAGGGGGCGGCTGTGGCTCAGGAGGTAGAGCGGGTCGTTTCCTAACCGGAGGATTAGCGGTTCGATTCCCGGCTTGTCCAGTCAACATGTCGAGGTGTCCTTGAGCAAGACACTGAACCCCCAGTTGCTCCTGGTGATGTCACCGGTGTGTGAATGCATGAGTGCGAATGGGTGAATGGCTGAATAATGTGAAAGCGCTTTGAGTGTGCTGTAAAAGCATAGAAAGGTGCTATACAAGTATAAGACCAGACCATACCACTCTGGCAATATGATTCAGTGTTGAATCTTGGCGAAGCAGAGTTTCTGTTTCCGTAGCGACCACCTCTTGTCCTTATTTGCTCCTCAGGTTTTCCAGTTAATCTGGAGCAGCAACTGGGCAACACTTAATAGATTTATGATCATGAAATGTATCCAGAAATTCACTTCAGAGTAAAAAAGGATCTATTTATGTCAGTTTCAATGCTGCCAATTCTGTCAGTGATACTATCTTGTGCTGAAAGGCCAGGAAGTACTGTATGTAGTAGGTTTCCTCTAACCACACTAAATAAGGTGCATGTACAAGCAGATGTTCACCTGATCGTTGGGCCAAACACTGTTTAATACACTCTTCTGCAAAATGCATTCAGTCAAAAGGGGGAAAAAACCTGAGATATAATCTAATGGCAGCAATTCAACTACTGAAATGTAAAAAATGTGGCTTCCTGTTGTGCTGCAGAGGAAAGTCAGCATCCTTCCTGAAGCGACATCTTAAAAACATAGTGCTGATAATGTCAGATGCAAAAATGTAGCCTTTATAGTGTTTTTAAGTGTTATCCCACACATTCATGCATCTTAGCTTGGTTGGTTAAAAGGTTTGGTTTGGTTTGGTTTGGTAAAGCAGACCTTGTTTAAGACAAGAGGTTGTTTAAAAACTGGTTCCAGCAGTTCAAGCTTGAACTAATAATGATGGGCTCTTTCCTGAAATTGACCTTGTAGGGTTTTCATACCAGTTAAGGATGGTACATGAAGAAACAGTGGAATATGTGCATTAATCCAAAGGGTTGGTTGGTTAATCTAGTTGCATTCAGCTCTCTGAGCATGTGGAGCTGCTGACTCTCAGACATCTCCATTTGTCTCCACAAACCTGACTGATCAGGGGCTGTGTCCTCTCAATTCACTGTCCAGCGGTTCTCATGGAGAACAACAGTCCAGATGTCTCAGGATGGTTTGAATGGCATCAGTCTTACTTGTCCGAACAGAACTAAGACAGTGCACATAATTATAATTACATTTCATAATATGTAATTTGACCCTATGGACATTTAATGTTTGAGCAGGCAGCTGGGCTCAGCATAGGGATGCAACTGACAGTTTAGATGAATTGATTGAAAGTTTTTAATGAAATGTCAGAAAATAGTGACATCTGTCCATCACAATTTTCTAAAACCTAAGGTGACAGATTCAAATGGCTTTTATTGTTCAACTTATAGTCAGAAACCATAAGATTCTCAGTTAACATCACATAAGATAAAGAAAAAAATCAAATCCTGATATCCCTACTAAAATGCCATGGTCTTTGAAACTGTCATAAATATGACACTATGATTATGAAACATCACCGTTTAAATACATTTGGTCACACAAAACACTTGGTTATGATTAGGCACAAAAACTACTTGGTTAGGGTTTGGTAAAACTACTAGATTTAGGAACAAAACATTTTTGGTTAGATTCCTTATGTTTAAGGAAAATGACTTGGACATGTTTAGGAACAAAACCATGTTATTATGTTTAGGAATAAAAACTCCTGAAAAGCACAAGCCACACACTGGAACTGAACTCAGGCTTACTGCATGAAAGCTGTGTGTTGTATCCACCTCACCTCCTCCGAACATGGATTTGTACCTCTATATACTTCTGCCTTTCCTTGTGTTATAATGCTTGTTAAATGCTGCCAAACTATGACACTGTCGTATTTTACAGGATAGCCTCAGGGCTGCAATGATTATTCAGTCAGTCTTTACATGAGAACATTTTGACCACCTTCCAGGCCGTGACCAGGTTCTAACCTATAGCATTTCCATTAAGGGGTTCTCTTAAACCACTCATCTGCCTTTATAATCAGCATTATCATTATCACAGTTAAACCTGGGTGGTCCCAGATTCATGACTTCTGCCTCAACATGACCAGAAAACCGAAGCTTTCATCTGTAAAGCCAATGAAAGACAAATCTTCAACTGCAACCTTGATATGTATCTAGGTGTAACCTCACAGGAAACTAACCTTTATTTATTAGGTCTGGTAAAGCAGGAGAGCTTTGTAAGCTTGCTGAAAGAAGAACAAGCCCTCCAGAATTTTCAGCCTCACAGGAGGAGCCTGATGAAGCAATGGTGCCCATTGCAATGTGCAGTAATTCATTTTTCTCAAAGCATTATCTTTAATTTTTCTCTGATGTTTAAAGGGAACATACAGAGATGACATCCACACTAAACACGCTGCAGCACAATGAAGCAGCTGTTTGGCCACTTTTTCATAACCACTGTGACAGATGAGTATTTACAAGACAAGACAACAGCTTCATGTAGCAAACTGATTGAGGACCAGTCATAACCTTTGACCAAGTGACATCACATCATAGCTATTTACACTATCAGTCACTCTTGATTTAGTTTATAAAATGTCACAAATTAGTTATAGTTGCTTGTTTTGTTGGACTAACAGTCCAAAGCTCAAAGGTTATTAACATACAATAATATAAACCAAAGAAAAGCAGAAAGTCTTCACATTTTTGAAGCAGAAACAAGTGCACGTTTGTCTTTTTTCATTGATAAATGACTTTGCATGTTCGATGTGAGTTGTGCATTTAGACACCCACACAGGTAAAGTGACAGGGATGAAGAGACAGACAGTCACCTCCATACTGTATTTACAGTATGTGTGTTTGTGAAAATGCTCGAGGGGTGGATGAAGGGCAGCTATAAAGTGGAGCAAGGCCACCGCAGCGGCTCATAAATGGCTGCTGTGATGTTGTAAAGGGCAAAGGAACAGCGTGGGCTGAAGGGAGACTGGTGAAAATGGATGCCGCAGGTTCTCAGAGGATCACTTGTCGCCTCTGGGGGATATTTCAAGAAAATAGAGCCCATGGTGCATATGGATGGCAGGTGTTATGTACTGTTTTGTCTTTTTAAATGTAATATTTAAATTTGCAAATATATGCAAATCGTGGTCAGTAGGTGGTAATTCCCTTCCCAGGATTCCAAGCACCTGAGTCTGTTACTGTCAGTCCCTCTCCACCTGTCATTGCCCTCAACCTCTCTTTCACCATCCCAGCCTTTTTTATTCTTCTCTCTCTGTTGAGCTCCTCTGTTGGCCTGGGTCCACAAGCCTTAAGTGTTGTGCTGCTATAAATGATAAAGACAAGAGCTTTGAGTCTTCAGCAGCCGCACTGGGGCGTTTAACAGGAGCACGACTGGGTTGCTTGGCTATTGGCAAAACAGCATTTATTGTTGATTCAAGGTGGTGCTGTTTAGTGTGTGTTAAGGAGAATTCACATTGAAATGGGGTATAAAATAAATGATTAGTCAATTAAGAGACTACTCAACTCAAATATTTCTTTTTTAAGTCAAGAGATTTGCTGTATCAAGTCACTGAACCCCCAAGTTGCCCCCGATGGTTAGAGCCATCGGTGTGAGTTGGCGCTGCAGATGGCTGCCATCGGTTCTGTACCGGAAACAAATTCTGTGTATGTAACATACTTGGCCAGATAAAGGTGATTATCCTTATCCCTATATTATTATTATCAAACTGACTATAGGACAAAGACATCAGTGTGTACTT